TTCTAATGAGCACCTCTGAGAGGGGCGTCTTAATTCGTGTTCCGCTGCTGCATGTGACACAATACCCGAGCCGGTGTAATGTACAAAGGAAAGGAGTTGATTAAATGCACACATCTGGAAGCTGGAGGTCCCCAACAGGGTGGCCGCGTCTGGCAAGGGCCTTGTGCTATGCCATAACGTGGCAGAACAGCCAAAGGGCAAGCAGGACGGATTCGCCTTGTAACAACTCGCTCCTGCTGTAACCACCCCGGGTCCCCTAGAAGGATGCTAATCCATGCTAAAGGATTGGCATGGCCCCACCTCCTAGCATCGTGACTTTGCCAATGCAATTTCAACCTGTTTGGTAGAGGACAAACCATAACCCAACTACCTCGTGGAGTAAGACTGTCTGTCGTCTGCCTTTAACTTCAATGTTAAAGTGATGGGGGGCCCTGGAGGAGAGCTTAACCTGGGCTGTCAGGGTCGAGGCCTGACCTTGTCAAGAAGTCTTCAGGAAGATGCTGGAGAAGCCACTTCATGGAAAGCTGAGTGTCGCCCGCACAGCCTGCAGCCGCACACAAGCCGTACACCAAGACAGACCCTTGTGTTCGTCTGGGGAGGGCTATCAGAGCGAAGTGGCACAACGTGAAGGGCGGAAGCGCTGCGCCTTTGGTTTTCACAGTTCTGGTGGCTTCAAGTCCAAGATCAAGGTGTCGGCAGGGCCACGCTCCCCCTGGAGGTGCTGGGATGGGTGTGTTTCGGAGCTCTGTCTTGGCTTCTGCTCGTTCTTTGACTTTCAAGTCTTCACACAGCGCTCTGCCTGTGCACATCTATCTCTGTGTCCAGACGTCAGCCTTTTTGAAAAGTTTTTTATCTACAGGAGAGGGAGGAGAGAAAGGAAGAAAGAAGGAGAGAGAGACAGAGAGAGAGAGAGAGACAGAGAGAGAGAGAGATTGAGAATCTATCTCATCCACGGGCTCACCCCCCAAATGTCTGTAATGGCCAAAATTGGGTCAGGCAGAAGTTGGGAAGTAGGAACTCCATCCAGGTCTCCCAGGTGGGTGACAGGGACCCAGCTACTTGAGCCATTCCTGCTGCTCCCCCCAGGGTCTGCATTAGAAGGAAGCCAGCATCAGGAGCAAAGTCAAAACTTGAATCCAGACACTCCGATATGGGATGCTGGCATCCCAAGCAGCACGCTTTAATGACGACACCAAATGCTGTCCCCAAATCTCCCCTTTCTGATGGAACAGAAGCCCTGTTGGATTGATGCTCCCCCTGATACCATCTCGTTATCTTGATAATCTATAAACACCCTGTTTCCAAGTAAGATCATATTCTGAGGTAGCAAGGGGTAGGATACATCTTTTGGGGAGGACAAAATTCAATCCATAGCACCGCTCAGTACTTACACGGAGCTGATGTGACTTGCTTCCCTGTAGGTCAATCTTCGTCTGGGATCCAAGGAGACGTGGGGGTGGTAGCTCCGTGGTGTGGGTTTGGGAGCGTTGCCGGAGCTGTCCCCCACTAAGGCAGCAGAGTGTAGGCGGACACAAGCCCCAGGGACAGGAGTCCTCGCTGGAGGGCCGCGAGGAAATTTTTTAAATTGACACACAAAAATGTAGGCCTGGAGATCCGCAATTGAATTTCCAATACCCAGAAGCTAAAGCAATACAAGATGTATTCATGTTTATGAGTATTAAGCACTTGAGTCCTGCCACCATCTGGGCCTCAATACCCCCCAAGCTAGACCCCATGATAAGGACTGGGGCACAATATGTCATTTCTTTGGGAAGAGATCCAGGAGGTATTGTGACAGGATGGAGCAGTGAGGAAAAGAGAGAGAGAGGGAGGAGAGCTCCGGGAAGACAAGCGAGTGCCTGCGTTACTTGCTTAATCCCATGGGGGCGGGGATTGGAGCAGAGTGGGGAAGCCTGGGTGTAGCAGCTGGGGCTTTTAGCCTCCACGCCCACCTCTCATTAGCGAAGAGTCCCTCCAGGGCCAAAGAACAGACTCTGGCGGAAAGACTAGGAAGCCGCCCGAGGATTGGGAGTTGCCTGCAATTAGCCTCCCAGGAGGGCGCCAGTGATGTGGGTGGGGCCTCCAGAGCTCCTGTTGGCCCCAGGTGTAGCACTGGTAACTCACAACAAAACCCTGAAATCCGTCTTCACTTGTGGACAAGGAAACTTGGTGCTGGGGACCGGGGTTAAAAGGCATCCTAAAATTCGTAGATTAGCAAATGGCTTATCCGAGATCAGAGTCCATTTCCATATCACGCTTAAGTCAATATCCCCAACCACAGAAATTCACCGCCGCTGGGAGCATCCGTGTTTTGTGTTATCCGCCTCTAAAAAGATGGTTTTCTTTCTTTCTGAGTTGGGTTGCCAACTAACGTTGACATGACATAGAGACACATGGCCACCCTGGCGGACAGCAAACACGCCACCATCAGCCGTGGGAATATGCATTCTCTCAGTGCCTCTCTGCACAGTGCCCCAGGCTTTGTCATGGATGGCAGGCAAGGCTCCTGCCTGGACCCCCTGCTGAAGCCTGTCATGGGACTGTGACAGGGTGTCAGGACGCAGCCCCCTGGCAGCCACACCCGAGTTCCAGTTGGCGCCCATGCGGTCCCTGTGGGCTCTGGCTTTGCCAGGCTTGCTGCTGCCTGTCCCTTCCCAGCTGTTCGCCAGGCCTGGGGCTGCGGGAAGACCCTGCCGAGGGGCTGGGTAAGTCTCCCCGTCACCTACCACTGCGAGGAGATTTCCCCCGGTTGGCTTGGAGTGACAGTGATAGATTAAACGCACCAATTAAATTAGATCCTATTTTAACGAGCTTGAGTTGGATTTACTTTTAATTATAGTGCTGTGCTCGCTGATGAGGTATTGTCGAGGACTTAACAATTGGTTGATTGTGCATCCGAGTGTTCAGAGAACAGTTTCTGGGAGAGACCAGGACAGCTTCTTCCTAAGGAGCTCTTCGGGATAAAACAGAGGGGAGGACGGGGAGGGGGCGGGCACGGAGGACATGTCCTGTCTCCACTGAGAATCCATCTCTCTCCTCATTTTCTGCTTTATGAGTCTTGTGTTACTTGCAGATTTAATGGGGCCAGCAGAGGGTAGAGGAGTGGGCCCGAGGCCGTGGTGCACAGCTAACTTGGGGCTCTATCCTGTCTGTACGCCACTAAGCTGAACACAATACCTGGGCCCAGGTTAACTAACCTGCCTGGTCTAAGCCGTAGATTCCTCTCAGTGATTCATTAATCAATTCAACAAGTATTTGTTGAGCTTCCAGAATGCAACGACACTGTTCTAGGTGCTGGGGCAAAGAGGAAAAGCTCTCCGTTCTTGGGGGGGCCCCCATTGTAGTGGCAGGGGTGAAGGAAGGGAGATAAAGAGATATTTTGCACCACACTGGCCAGTGAGCAATGCTCAAGAGAAACTACGGTGGGGTAAAGGCTTTGTGGGATGGGAGGCTTTGTGTGGACATGGGCTCTTTCTGACAGCAGCATCTGAGCAGATTCTGAAGCAAGACAGGAGCTGAGCCATGTGGCTGGCTGGGGAAACAGTGCTCTAGGCCAAGGAGAGAAGGGATGTTAACAGCCTTACCCTGCTGGCCCCAGCCCTTCTGCTCCCAGCCAAGTCCACGTCCATGTGCGTCGAGGAAGGCAGGTTCTTCGACTCTTGGCAATTGCCCTGCTGGGACCTCAGTCACTAGAGGTGCTGATCTCTGGATGTGTGTCTGGTCCAAGGGGGCAGGGCTGTCCCACGCACTCTTTGAGGACATGACTTTGGGGATTTAGTTCTTCGCTGTAATGGAAAAACAGAAAAATGGAGAACAAAAGCCCGTAAGCCAAGTACACACAGATGCCATTGTACTTGGAAAGCACATTGGACCATAAACTGGATGCTTGAGTCCTGGTGCCTCCTTTGCCTATTTGCAAAGCAAGTGAATGTGGGTAGCTCTCAGTCTTCTGAGCCGCAGTCCTACAATTTATAAAATAGAAAATGAGGCCATAGTAGCAGACCTCTGAGGTGCCATATAGCTAAAGGTGGGGTTCACAGGCAAGACTTGGAGAATCATGGAACCCTGGGAAAAGACTAGGAACGCTCAGAGAAGCTCCCAACCTTGGCCCTGGGCATGGGATAGTCTCCAGGAGTGTTTGTGTTGGGCATACTAGTGGCAGCCCCATGACAGGCTAGGGTGGCAGAGACGGTCTCCCTCTGACTGGATTCCCAGATGCAGAACTGAGACAATTCAAGTGAAGGCCGCTTCTTTGGGAGGTTATCCCAGAGAACACTACCAAGCAGAAGTGGGGAAGCGAGAGAAGGCGTCGCCAAGCCAGTTACCTCTGTGGGCGCCTGGAGCTTCCCCTTGCTGCAGAACCGCGGAGGGTCAGCACAGAACACGTGCTTCAGAGGCAGCCCTCCTGCGAGTGAGGGAGCTGAGCTATTGTACACTCAGTCCTGTGGGTTGGTGGCTGAAGGTTGCTCTGCAGGATTGAGGATAGAGCTCCCTGGCACTTCTGGCCCTTGGCTGCACCAAAGTACACTCTGGACCCGAGAGATCCACGGGGCAAAAGGGTGGAGAAGCTGGTGGCTGAGAGTTGGGTGGCTTTTGCTAAGGTGGCAAGGGCAAGGGGATAGGTTGGGCCTGGGGCAGCGTCTGCTACAGCCCCCAGAATAAGCAGCTCTGCTTCAGATCACTGTTTCAGAGGCTGAGCCTGGGCTCAAGTCTCACACCCAAGAGGGCTACCGTCCGCCTGCCACCCCTGTCCCCGACCCCCTGCCCCGCCGGCAAGTGGCAGATCTACTCTGTGGCCCAAGGCTCACAGCTGTGTGGCCAGGTATGTGGCCTCTGGGAAGTAACAAGGAGGAGAATCCAGGAAAAGGCAACCCAGTTGAGAGACACAGAGCTTAGCACCCTGAAAGGCTGAGTTGGCTCTGGAGGCACCCTGTGCTCAGCTCCTCAGAGAGCAGACGAGCTTGGTAGTTGGAAACATCTCTGTGTGATGCCTCCTGCAGGGGATGTCATTCCTTGAATGAGAAGAGAGTGGCTGGCAGTGTCTCCATGGCAACCAGCAAGAGCCCACCCAAGGACCCCTCTTGTGATGGAAGAGATGGAGCCGAGACCACGACTCCAGGGAGTGAGTGTCTCTCTGTAGCAGGTGTCCAGAGCCACAGGTAAACGGTTTTCTTTGCTCTTGACATTGTAGTTGTGATCTGTATTATATATATATACACACACACACACACACGCACACACACACACGGGCACCCGCATACCAGCCTAAGCTGGTCGGGTCAGGGAGAACACCTGTCACAATGTTGTGCCGACGTACTGGGGAAGCAGGAACAAGTGGGCGTCTCTGTTGTCCCTTCACAAAATGATTCAGATGGTACCCATTCCCTGGCCTCCGCCGTGGGAGGCAGCAAGAGCCGACGCAGAAATGTGTGGGAGGCATTTGGAGCACCCTGAAAGAAAGATGCTCTCAAGAATGCCTGTTATGAAATGTGCGAGTTTTCCTTTCCTTTTAGTTCTCAGCCTTTGGAGTTTTCAAATTGCATTTAAGGTATTTCGAAGCAGCTGCTGTGCTGAGACCACACACCATCCAGAGCCGCTGACCACAAAGTGAAGGCGAAAATAAAACCCGAACGAAGAGGATTTGCTCCTGACTCGTGGCCAGCTTCCAGTTTGGATCTTAAAAGCGTCTCCCCTGGCCAGCTTCCTGCGCTGACCCCCAGGCTCACTTAGCTCGGCGCGGCTGTGTATTCCTTGCCATTAGATATTGAAAACAGGAAATTAAGGGGCCTGTCTGGGGATGGTAGAGCTTGAAACAACTTCAGAGAACAAGCTGATGAAGTCATAGATCATATCTCCCTGCCTTTTCCATGTCGGGTTTCTTTAAAGATAAGGGAGTGAATCAAAATGTGCTGCCTTTTTTTTTTTTTTCTCAAGATGGAAGCAGAGGAAGATTTCTTTAATATCCCCTTCCCTCCCAGTGTTTCCAAAGATAACCAGATGAGAGGAATGCCTCGATCGCACGCACGTGCGTGTAAAATGCGATTACAGGACAATTTCTCCATCTTGGTCCCCGAGGGCTGGGGGAGAGGGGGAGAAGAGATGACACTTGGAAAGGAGAGGAGCCAGGTAGCCATCGGGCCCCGTGGTGTTGCTGAGGTAGCTGCTGGTTTCTTAGAGGGGACCATCGGGGCCAATGGCCTTGCAGCACTCAGCAAAGGGGACTTCCGGGCTACAGGAGCAGGAGAGATGCTCTCTACGGTACAGTGCTGTCCATGAGACGTCCGGTACACCCTGCAGCAGTGCCAGCCCTCTGGCCCAGGCTGGGTGCCCAGGCTGGGCTGTGTCAGGCAGCAGTATGACATGGGGAGTGACTTGATGCAGCCCAGGGGGACAAATATGAGAGGAGGTCAAGGCAAAAAAAAAAAAAAAAAAGGCAGGCGTCTAGGCGTCCAACCTGGACACTCGGGTCTGATGGCAGAGGCCAAGGTGAGGAGCAGGAGAGGAGATGGAGGGCAAAGTCTGGACAGCTCAGGGGATTTGAAGCCCTGGGGGCACAGGCTTGGGGACCAGCAGCCCTCCGTGCAAATCTGACTCTGGCACAGGCCGCGTGGCCCAAGCCTCAGTGTTCTTTTCCGTAAAACTGACTGATACCTATTCCACGGCTCTGTCCCGGGAAGCCAACAAGTTGGCTTTTTTTGCAAGCGCTTGAGGTTGTGAACTGTGCGGGCTGCTCTAAGGATGGATTTATGCAGTTCCCGCAGAATGGGCCTGGGGGAGGGGGAGCCTGCCGGGTCGAAGGGAGTCCGCACAGGGAGATGCTAAGCTTATTTATGAAACAGCTTCTCTGGCCTTTTGGTGAACCTGGAGAACAATTTACATCTGGCAAGGCAGAACCGTGATGAGCAAGAGATTCTGGGCCGTGTGCGCTGTTTGGGGCAGCTCGCTGGGAAAGGGGCCCTTGACTCTCTTGAGCTGCAGACACCTGGCCGTGGCCCTGCCCCACCCTGCCAAGGGTGATGGATGTAGGTCAGGCCCTCGGGAGGCCAGGCTTCTCTCTTGAGACAGTTAGAAAAGAGCAGCTTGCAGGAAATGAATTAAGAAAATGAGTCTGTGGGGTGAGGGGGACTGGGAAGGGATAGCAAGGAAAACCCAGCAGGGATTGGGGGCAAGAGGGGTTGTACAATGCGCAACCTGCACAGCTGCACAGAGGAGCCCATGCGTGGGACTGCGAGAAGAAACAGAATGAATTAGAAGAAGGAAAGTTGATGAGCAGGGCAGCGGAGAGAGCAGCACTGAGAGTGACCCAAGACCATGGACGGGCTGTTGCCTTTGGAGTTCTTTCCTCTGCTGAAAAGTTGAATAGGAATGAGAAAGCACAGGCCACAGGCCATCTGCTTGTGCTTAAAAAAAAAATCGGAAAAGTAAAGATGAATCCATATCCCTGGGAGAGGGACTCGGCAAATGGACTTCACCTCCTCACCCCTCTCCACCTTTCACCCTGCATCTGTCCTGGGGCAGCAGGATGGAAAGAGGATTTCTCCAAATACTCTCTGAGCTCAGGTCACACCTGTACCCCTCCCCCCAGCTGTCACATCCTGCAGTAGACCCTGGATCAGGGCAGAGTCTCTCATGTTCCCCTTCCTGGATGGCCATTGCCCTTTGCAATGCCCCTGCAGGCGGGGCATCTTCATGAACTTTCCCCAGGCGCCTTGAAGCAGCAAGGCGTTCCCCCTGGAATTCTGGGAGCCGGGCTCCTCTGGGTGGAGGTGGGGCCGACTGGAAGCCTTCAAACCCAGCTCGCAAGTTCTGGATGCCTTCACCATCCGTGTCCAGGAGGAACCAGGATGGCCCTTGCTGTTCAAGGGTCTATGAGCTTCATCCTCTTGGTCAGTGATGCCCAGACCTGGCAGCCTGCTAGTCGCCAGAGGAACTTAAACATTCTGGGCTCAGGCCCCACCTTGAGGCCAGTGGAATTTGAATCCCTAACTCTGGAGACCACACATTTACACTTTTCAAAAGCTCCTTCAGGCAATTCTGGCGGCCACGCTTGTGAAATTACTGCTCTGAGGGCTTAAGCGCCTCCAAATAGTAACTCAGATGCTTTCTCTGGGCCTCAGTTTATCGACCAGAAAAATGGATTGGTAATCTATTCATCCCATCCTAATATTCTGGAACTCTGACAAAGCAGCAGGTAAGAGATCCACAGATGTATGAGGGTATTTCAAAAAGTTTGTAGGGAAAATATGAAATTAGAAGTACAAGTTTATTTTGGTGGAAAAATATTTTTGAAGATATATGAACAATGTGTATTACCAAAAAAAAAAAAAACCTCTGAAATAAACGCAGACTTTAGTTCCTTTCTTCCATGGCTTTTTTGAAATATCCTCATATGTTCACGAGCACGTGGGCATTCAAAACACTCACACCTTCCTTGCTTTCTATACTCTACAACTTTCACTTTCACTTTCCCAAGGTACCGAAAGCCTTCATCTCAACTGTTCCTCCCACAACACCCTTCCTGCCCAAAAGGGGTAGTCAGAAACTTCCAGAAGCATTTTAGATAGAGAACATAACAAGAAGGTGGATTTGCTAAGAGAACCGAAGGGTCAACCACAGATTCCCAGCCTGGAAGTACCCTGGAGGTCCCCATCCAGCCCTCCTGTTGTCCCCAAGGAAACAAGACACCAGGGGAGGAACCCAGTTGTCCGAATTCACACAGACAGCCAGTGCTGGAGCCAGGGCAAATGCAGGACCCAAGTATGGTGTGAGGTCAGAGCGACCCAAGGAATGGCTTAAAAAGTGTGTTCACGGATTCCGCCCCAGATCCAACAAGCCAGACTTCTGGGGCCCAGAAATCTGATTTCAGCTTCTCCTCTGGAAAACCCAGAACTACTTTGCACCTCAAGGCCCTGAGGAAAACTACTTGGCAGGCTGGAAGCCAAGAAGCCCAGGGCTTGCCCACATCTGCCTGTCCCTCTTACCCTGAGATCTGGGACGAATGGTGGGCTCTATCACAAGGCTTGGCAGCTGGAAGGATCAGTGCATGTAACCATTTCCTGGAGAGCTGGATGGCTCAGTGGCCAGAGGTGGGGAGGCAGTGATGGGAGGAGACTGACCCAACTGTGACCCAAACCTGATGCTTGACTCCATGAGGTGAGACCACATAGGCATTGCCTCAGCCCCTCCCCAACCAGAAGCCCCCTGGAGGAAGGGCCAAAGGAAGCCCTTGTTGGTACCTTGAGCCCAGCCCATCCGAGAGGGCAAAGCTGAGTTCAAAGGTACAAGCTGGGACAGAGGGGAGGACAGATTGTGGCCCAAGTCAGAACACATGTCACTCATTCTGTTCTGGCTGGGCACATGTTCGATCTGCAATCCTTTGACTCTGCTCCAGCTGTCACCTGTCTGGTGAAGCTTCCAGTCAAAGCCCAGCTCTGCACAGGCTTCTTGCCAGCCACGCCCATCTGCAGAAGCAGGTGGTAGAGGTAACCATGCGTGGCACCACCTGAGTGCCTATGGTGTGCCGGGCTCTGTGCTAGACACTTCACAGGTTGTTCTTTGGCTGTTCCACAGAAGTGTGGTAGGTGGGACGATGCCCCCCAAAGACGCCCAACTGCTAAGCCCCAGAACCCCTGAGCCTTTGGAATTGCTTGCCCCGCACAAGTGACTGTTAATGTGATGAAGTTAAGGATGTGGCGATGAGAGATTGTGCTGGGTGATCTGGGTGGGTGCAGTGTACTCGCGAGGGTCGTTATCAGAGAGAGGCGAAGGATCAGAGCTGCAGAGGGAGATGTGGGACACAGGCAGGGGTCAGAGCGATGCGACTGCTCTCTGTGAAGGTGCGGGAAGGAGCCGTGAACAGAGCAGTGCAAGGAGCCTCCAGAAGCCGGAAAAGGCGAGGGGATGGATTCTCTGGCGTCTCCAAAAGCAATGCACCGACGCCGTGAACTTGATTTAGCTTAGTGAGACCTACTTTAGATTTCTGGCCTCCAGAACTCTAAGGGGATGTTTGTGCTCTCTTAAGCCCTATTTGTGGCAATTTGTTATCCCAGCAATAGGAAGTGAATAGAATAGTTCTTCTTTGTAAATGAACAAATGGAATCTCTGAGGGGGTAGGGAACTTGCTCAAGGCAAGTCTGGTGGATGACAAAATCAAGATCAG